CGCATCGCTCATCCAGCGAGGCACCGAACCATATTCAGCGTAAGACGAACAAAGTTAATGGCACTTCTTGTGTGGCTGTGCGCGTCCACGGTTCAACTTCCTTACGTCGCAAATGGCGATATATATACTTTTCATCCGGGCAAAGGGATTTGTTTCGTCGAGTTTACACTCTCGGCGAAGGTCGGCATCATATATCTTGTCCTGCCTTCGATTGTTGTCCAGCACTTCTACATGAAAGTATTCCTAGCTCTGAGAGCCAACAGAAGACACGTTCAAACCCTGCGAGGGCTAACAAGCGACCCTCTCAGAATGACAATACAAGAAGTCAAGTTAACAAGAACTTTATTAGTGACCGTGCTCGCATATGCCATTTGTTGGACTCCAGTTATGATAACAGATTTGGTGGACATGGCTCTTGGAGGGTGGGCCCTTCCCCGTGGTGCCTATTTGATGTACTCAACTTGTGGTCTCGCGAGTTGTTGTATAAATCCCCTGGTGTACGGGACCATGAACAAAGTATTCCGTGACGAATACGTCAGATTGCTTGGACTACGTAACACTAAAAATCCTAGTAATTCTATAACTTCAGTTGTAAAGTAGCATTAACGTTTTGCGCAGTTAGAATGTTGCCTTACAAGGCTGTGGGAATGAAGATATAGATGGCATCAATCCATAAAATTTACTGAGCAGTAGCAATAAATTCATTTGATAAAACAAGAGGAAGGGAAGCCCTTAGACCTTTAAAGAGGGACAAAAGTTATGCCTCCGGTCTACGATTGTCCTCTCGATAGTACTTAATAGCGCTTTTTCACATGACGTCCATATTTATGTCCCAAAACAATGAAACCGGGGCCATGTCAGTGTCCTAAACCAATCCTATGGCAGTTCAACTCTTTTGTTATGTAAGCACTTTCTCTTGTTCCGATAAATTTGCATGGCTGCTGGCCACGTGAATGAAAACGCTCCATAATAACTGATTGTAAACGTTTTTCTTTACCAGGCATTGTATTTCTCTAGGTTTTGGTTGTCAGTTTCCGATAAACTTTTCTTTTCTATAATATAAGTAGTTGTTATTAGAATCTAAGTAAAGCTAGACATAAACGAGTTGATCAATGCATTCGTGATATTGTTTTTTTTGGTGCAAAGTCCCCGAAGGTCGAAGAACAATTTGTGAACTTCTTCCTTAGACTACACATAGCGACTACATGTAGTCGGTAGATGGTGGAGAACAGATTTACCCTTACACCACTAACTACGTTAGCTGAACTTGAGAGCAAAATTTGGAAGTTCAACCAAATGCAACCACGAGCTAAAACCGTCTGATCCAATTTGAAAATGACAGCACCAACCAAACACGCCCAACTCGCAACGAATTGTCGATCACGAACAAAAGAACAGTTATGTGTTTGACAGGAAAATTTACCAATATCAGTACAGGTGCACACTATGCAAATTATTTTTAAGGTGGAAAATGTCATTAATTATTAAAAAACTGGGTTATTGGATAATGCAATTCAAAGGTTTTCATTGGCTTAGCCACAATGGAAAATGAGCAATCATGCTATGCTCAACATGGTAAGAGAACGCGTAAGTCTTAGCGGCAACAATGCCGAAAAGATACTGTAGGCGTTGAAACCGTTATTCGATCGAAATTTATGTTTTCATGAATACACGTTTTTTCATGCTATCTTCGTCTACTGATCGCGTTGAAACATCGTGAACGTATTTAGATGGAGCAGTGGAATCCTATCTTCACCCATACTACCTTCCGATATTGTTACGTGCGCACTCGGTACGCTATTTAAATACTCCAACAGAACTGGCGTTTGGAAAACTCCCCAACTGATAACCTGGAACAGGGCTTGGAACGGCGTCAGAAAGTTACGATTAATACACTGGCTGATTCAACAAAAACAAGTTTTGGCTCCCACAGTTAAGTTACTTACGAGGTTGGCATAAACTGATAAAGCCAAGTAATGATTGTGAAGTCTTTACAAATACAACCACTGAATATTTGTTTTTAATCAGTAACACTGACATTTTACGTTATTGAAATTTCCTGTTATTTGGCTGGACTCGAAGTATATAAGAAGCGAAACTTGTGGCTTTCAAAGTTACAACGGACTTAGCCAAACTGATACGGTATTGCGCCAATGCAGTCGAGAAGTTTGGTTTGGAATTGAACGATGCATCCGCCCCGTGTCATCTGAAAAGGTAAATTAGATGTGGACAATTCGTCAGTAATCTGCCAGAAAGATATTGAAGCATACTTGCCATGTCACTTTTCGAGAAAGATTGCTCCGCAGTACCGCCACCAATATCACTGTCGTTCTTCACGGCGATCATTTCTATCGTCCTGTTCTTCTTTACAGTGCCGACAAACTTCTTAATCTGCTGGGCAGTGTACAAAGGACCACAAGAACTGCTCCGAAATGCGTTTAACTGCCTCGTGGTCAACTTGGCCTTTGCTGACCTTATTGTCGGACTTGTCGTGCTGACAATATCTACATATGTTCACCTGCTGGAAGGTTTAACAAATCATCCCAACTTACCAGTACTTCCAGTGGGTCACATATCATATTTCATATGCTGCACGGCGTCAACTTTCAGTCTTACAGCAATGGCTATCGATCGCTACATTGCCGTTGCTTACCCCGTCGTTTACAGAAACAAGATCACCCCTCGTGGTGCTGTCGCCGTCTCGATTTGCATTTGGTTTATTTCTATTTGCTTGCCCTTAGCTGTCTATTTCCAAATTGGCTTCATAAAATACGCTTTCGTTTTTGCCAATACAGCTATTGTTGCCACATTGCTGATCTTTTTCTTTTCGTACATCACAATTTATCGCAAGCTTCACGCACAGTTTCATATGTCTTCGCAACTCCAATCGGGAATGAATTCACACAGCGCTCAAATACGAGCACAAGAACATGAAAAGCGCCTGGCGAAGACATTCGTTCTCATTCTGGCGGCTTATCTCATCTGCTACACGCCTTCATGTGTAATAATCTACATCTTAAACTTCTGCCGCAGTTGTAGCTGCATAACAATCCATTGGTTTCGAGACCTTCAGTACGTTTTCATCTGGTTCAACTCCGTGCTCAATCCGTTTCTTTATTCCTGGCAAATTCCAAGCTTTAGAGACGCTGTTTTGGCAAGAATACCTTGGAAAAGAAGTGCAAGTCCAAACCAAGTATCCCCTGATGACCAATCGTTGGGAATGACCGACAGCAATTCTCTTCCGTCCCGAAGAGTTACGATTGGTAGAGTATAGAGGCTTTTTACTGTCATCGTAAAACACAGCAACAGATGAACATGCTGATTTGAAAAAAAATGACTGCGATCGAAGTTAGCAATAATGTACAGGAAAAGAAACCAGGCGAGGTCGTTGGTATGGACGGATTAACAAGACTGAAATGTTGAATCTGAGGCCAAAGGGACAAAAATCGAAACGATTTCTTTCTCGGGCCTGCATCTTTCCGACAAATGTTTCTAATTTCCTGTGTCATTGAAACTAGTACAGTGTTTGCATAACGTACAAAATACTGAGACCAGTGTGCGTTTCTCTGAACGGCTCGAAAGTTTATGCTGGACAAGAGTTTTATGGGAAGTAACATGGGGGTAATATTAAGTTTTGGGGGTAACATTAAGTCATTAAGTTGGCTAAATTGGTCCTGTCAAGGCATTGGCACAATTCGCCAAAAGACAAAAGTTTGCATTGCTCGTGGAGCTGTAGATACATATGAGCTTTTACTTCAGCCACGGCATGCTTTGTAAATACAAGGCAGTTTAATGTAACAATCGTGTTTGCATAACCTCACGCAGCCTGTCTGTTTGAGAAACTTAGACAAGTGGACAATTCTCGCAGGGAAGGAATATTTACCCTAGTCTGGCATCAAGCGCTTACAAACTGTGTCGATGGAAGTCTACAATATAAGATGCCAACAGCACTCCCGTTCTATTGACATGCATGGACCAACAAAAATGTTTCCCACATAGAGGATTGGTAACGCGTACGCAGGAAATTTACTTCAGAAGATACAAATTAGGAGGACCACACTCATTAGTTAATTGTGACAGCTGTTCGTGATCCTGAGAAACAAAATAGACGTATATTGTTTACCTGTACAGTACCGTATCATCAGAGAAACGGATCAAGAAAATCTATGCTCTTTTCTTGTACAGATAGGATACTACAATGAAGAGTAATATATTTGATCGAGAGAAAATCCTCAATTTCTCTTGATTTAACCTGCTTCCTTTTATAACAAAGCAGTACCACCAATCAAAAGGTTGCATGACATATGCGCCGATTAGAACGTAAATAAATCAGTTATTCCCACGCGGAAGCGGTTTTTACAGAGAAGTGACATCATGACTTGTCACTGAAGTTTCCTATCATAGTGGCAACTTAAATTAACTTTAGCGTCACTGAGACAAAATATGATTGGGTTTCAAAGGCACTTTAAAGTGATTTTAGAAATCGAACCAATCACATGTTTTTTTACTTTCTTATCATACTCCCCACTTTGTATTTACAGTTCCTGAAAACAGGCCCGTAGAGCAAGTATAAATCAGTTTATTGAGAACTTGATCTTTGAATAATGCAATTCAAGAGTTTTCATTGGCTTAGCCATCATTGTATATGAGAATTGTACCATTCTCTAAGCGTGCGGATAATATTTTGGGGCGATTTTGTTTTTATATTATTTTAGTTTTCCATATTTGGGGTCGTTTTCAATGAAAAAATATATTTCACTCACATTTGTTGGGTGGGCGAAGCTCACAGTGAGTCGGCAGCTGACTGAGAACGAGAGTCACGTGGTCCAAACGAATTCTACTACGAAGATTGGGCGCTAGTTTAGAACTTATAGATGAGAAGATTGGGTACTAGTTGGCTGGTTTGAGTGGATAATCGGTAATTTAGCTTTCGTAAGAGTATTGGCCTCGAGTACTACGTGGAGTCAAGCTGTTTGTAATGTAAGGTTGTAATTTACAGCATGTGTTTCTCCTTTTAAATGTGATGAAATGAATGTAACGTAATAATGAAAATAATAAAAATTATGGGTCCTGATTATATATGTAGAAAAAATGAATCACCACGAATAACCAGTGGCCATGAATGACTATGAATGGTCACTCTTGGTCATTCATGGACATTCGCAGCTATTTATGGTCACTCGTGGCCGATCGCGGTCATTCGTGTGTACTTTTAGACACGCTTACCATTCCCCGGTTATTTTGATAAATAAACTAGTACAGTAGAATCCCGATTTTTCAAACCTCCATGGGAAAATTGGTTCGAGAAATCGAGGGTAAAATTACAGTGTTCGACTGAGGAGAGGGAAACGACTTCTGATTCGGCAGGTTCGAAAAAATGAGGGTTGGAGAAATCGGGATTCCACTGTCATTGCTTATCGGTTACATGAAAATTTGCATTTATAATAGAACACGATCTTGTCTGTTCCATGTTTCCATCAGATATCTAACTTTGTCTTATTCATCTACATTGAAAAACCAGGCGCACCTTTCGTGGGTTTTCGAGAAAACAAGAGTATTATGTTGTGTATTTTTGCGATGAAAACAAATGTATCAAATTACAGACGTTGGCGTAAAAAAGTAAATTATCACGTTTGCTTCTTTAATGTCTCAGAATGAATTCAAAATTAACGAAAAAGAAGGAAAATACCGCGGTAAAATTGAAATCTGTCCTGATTAGCAAAGTGGGAGTGAGCTGCAGGGGTGGGGACCTGTACCTGCATAGCACATGACCACCATATGTCGGTGCTGAACATCACACCCTAAATAATCTGATATTGCCTCACTAGTTCTTATCTGTTACATCTTAGACGGAGATTGCAATAAATAAGTATAAGTTGGAAACTAAACCATGGCGAGGTCTGAAGGAAACTAGCTTAACAGACCTTATGAATCTTGATTGCAATCTAAATTACGGCATCCGAAAACGTTAGAAAAGAAAACCGTGATACACTCGTTTTAAAAGACCTTGGAAGGGGCGGAGAAAAACAGGCAAAGTTTCCGGATGCATGTGACTTTGTCACGTTTCAAGGGAACAGAAATGTAACCAGGCCTTTGTGCCATGGCTCGTTTGCGCTGTATGCCACTGTTGTCTGCCTGGCTTTAGGTATTTATGACAGACATGAATAACTGAGATGATAATTTAATAACTGTGAGAAAGGACATTTAACATGTACTACCTAAACTTTCCAGCTCAGAGAACTGACCGCTGTAAAGTAACAAATTTGTCAGTAGAAAATGGTATCACATGACTTTTCGGTAACCTTTTTGTGCGTGGGAAAGCTGAAAGCTGAAACCACGGAGATAATATTAAAGGAGTCATTTAGACCGATTTTCTTCTATTTAGAGTTCTACAAGCCTTCTCATCACGCTACACGTTGCACCAAGTTGTTATGTTTCTGCAAGGGTTTTTTTTTATTGAAAGTCACTTGAAACAGTATGGTTAAAACTACGTCTTCAACCTCAGCTAGCATCAATAACCGAAGTCTTCTCGTGAACAAAACGCTTTCACAGGTACATCTAGAGAGCGAGGACGAACAGCAAACAATTACTGTTGCAATTACCCTTCTTCTCCTAATTTCATTTCTAGGATCGATTGCGAATTTCCTTGTTTTGAAAGCGATATTCAGCCAGAAAAGACGAAAGCTGCACGAGTATCTCATGTTGAACCTAGTTGCCACTGATGCAGGGACATGTCTCGTGGGTATTCCGCTCGATGTCGCAGAGCAGGTGATTGGCAAATTTCCTTACGGAGTTGCTCTTTGTCATGTTATTTACCCGTTTCAGTCCGCGCTAGTCTATTCATCCGTTATGACACTGTTATTCATGTGCGTAGAACGCTATAGATTGATTGTAACACCGCTGAAGCCAAGATTACGCGTAAAAACTGGATTAACAATCATTGCAGCGATATGGCTGTTATCGTGCCTCATGGTCCTTCCTCTATCTCTTGCCCTGAGGCTCAAAGGATCTTATTGCATCGAGGAATGGCCGAACGCTTACAGTGGAAAAGTGTTTACCCTCACTATCTTTACTCTACTTTACCTAATACCACTGGTTATCATGACCTTCCTCTACGCTTTTATGATCGATGTATTAACCAAGGACACTGCGTCTTTAAAACGGCGGTGGAAAAGAAAAAGCAGGACGATTTCCCAGGAATCGGTCTATGTGCGAATGGAGAGAAACTTCACAATTGTCAAAGTGTTTGTCATTGCTGTAGTCGTGTTTGCAGTGTGCATGTTACCAACACATATTACTTGGCTGTGGCACGATTTTGGAAGCGGTTCTGAAAGACCCGAGTTATTTGGTAACGTGGCAACGTTTAGCAACATTCTTATGTATGCTAATTCTGTTTTCAACCCCGTTATTTTTGGATCCATGATGATCGATGCTAAAACACTTGTAAAACTTTGCAGAAGTTTGCTTTGCTGCCGTTGCGGACGAAATAATAGAGACCCCAAGCAAGTTTTTGCTCTTAAAGTTCGCTCTCCTTCGATGTCAGCTCAGTTGCAAAGGGGATCATTCTGTTTGTCGCTGTCTAAAGCTTCGGAGATCTTCAACAGTGGAAATAATGAAACAGTCAGAGCGACGAAAATAACTGTAAAGAACACCGATCAATGGTAAAGCTAAAACACTGAGCTGACGTGATTCAGCGTGGTAGACTAGAACTTTCAAAACGTGANTCTCTGAACGGCTCGAAAGTTTATGCTGGACAAGAGTTTTATGGGAAGTAACATGGGGGTAATATTAAGTTTTGGGGGTAACATTAAGTCATTAAGTTGGCTAAATTGGTCCTGTCAAGGCATTGGCACAATTCGCCAAAAGACAAAAGTTTGCATTGCTCGTGGAGCTGTAGATACATATGAGCTTTTACTTCAGCCACGGCATGCTTTGTAAATACAAGGCAGTTTAATGTAACAATCGTGTTTGCATAACCTCACGCAGCCTGTCTGTTTGAGAAACTTAGACAAGTGGACAATTCTCGCAGGGAAGGAATATTTACCCTAGTCTGGCATCAAGCGCTTACAAACTGTGTCGATGGAAGTCTACAATATAAGATGCCAACAGCACTCCCGTTCTATTGACATGCATGGACCAACAAAAATGTTTCCCACATAGAGGATTGGTAACGCGTACGCAGGAAATTTACTTCAGAAGATACAAATTAGGAGGACCACACTCATTAGTTAATTGTGACAGCTGTTCGTGATCCTGAGAAACAAAATAGACGTATATTGTTTACCTGTACAGTACCGTATCATCAGAGAAACGGATCAAGAAAATCTATGCTCTTTTCTTGTACAGATAGGATACTACAATGAAGAGTAATATATTTGATCGAGAGAAAATCCTCAATTTCTCTTGATTTAACCTGCTTCCTTTTATAACAAAGCAGTACCACCAATCAAAAGGTTGCATGACATATGCGCCGATTAGAACGTAAATAAATCAGTTATTCCCACGCGGAAGCGGTTTTTACAGAGAAGTGACATCATGACTTGTCACTGAAGTTTCCTATCATAGTGGCAACTTAAATTAACTTTAGCGTCACTGAGACAAAATATGATTGGGTTTCAAAGGCACTTTAAAGTGATTTTAGAAATCGAACCAATCACATGTTTTTTTACTTTCTTATCATACTCCCCACTTTGTATTTACAGTTCCTGAAAACAGGCCCGTAGAGCAAGTATAAATCAGTTTATTGAGAACTTGATCTTTGAATAATGCAATTCAAGAGTTTTCATTGGCTTAGCCATCATTGTATATGAGAATTGTACCATTCTCTAAGCGTGCGGATAATATTTTGGGGCGATTTTGTTTTTATATTATTTTAGTTTTCCATATTTGGGGTCGTTTTCAATGAAAAAATATATTTCACTCACATTTGTTGGGTGGGCGAAGCTCACAGTGAGTCGGCAGCTGACTGAGAACGAGAGTCACGTGGTCCAAACGAATTCTACTACGAAGATTGGGCGCTAGTTTAGAACTTATAGATGAGAAGATTGGGTACTAGTTGGCTGGTTTGAGTGGATAATCGGTAATTTAGCTTTCGTAAGAGTATTGGCCTCGAGTACTACGTGGAGTCAAGCTGTTTGTAATGTAAGGTTGTAATTTACAGCATGTGTTTCTCCTTTTAAATGTGATGAAATGAATGTAACGTAATAATGAAAATAATAAAAATTATGGGTCCTGATTATATATGTAGAAAAAATGAATCACCACGAATAACCAGTGGCCATGAATGACTATGAATGGTCACTCTTGGTCATTCATGGACATTCGCAGCTATTTATGGTCACTCGTGGCCGATCGCGGTCATTCGTGTGTACTTTTAGACACGCTTACCATTCCCCGGTTATTTTGATAAATAAACTAGTACAGTAGAATCCCGATTTTTCAAACCTCCATGGGAAAATTGGTTCGAGAAATCGAGGGTAAAATTACAGTGTTCGACTGAGGAGAGGGAAACGACTTCTGATTCGGCAGGTTCGAAAAAATGAGGGTTGGAGAAATCGGGATTCCACTGTCATTGCTTATCGGTTACATGAAAATTTGCATTTATAATAGAACACGATCTTGTCTGTTCCATGTTTCCATCAGATATCTAACTTTGTCTTATTCATCTACATTGAAAAACCAGGCGCACCTTTCGTGGGTTTTCGAGAAAACAAGAGTATTATGTTGTGTATTTTTGCGATGAAAACAAATGTATCAAATTACAGACGTTGGCGTAAAAAAGTAAATTATCACGTTTGCTTCTTTAATGTCTCAGAATGAATTCAAAATTAACGAAAAAGAAGGAAAATACCGCGGTAAAATTGAAATCTGTCCTGATTAGCAAAGTGGGAGTGAGCTGCAGGGGTGGGGACCTGTACCTGCATAGCACATGACCACCATATGTCGGTGCTGAACATCACACCCTAAATAATCTGATATTGCCTCACTAGTTCTTATCTGTTACATCTTAGACGGAGATTGCAATAAATAAGTATAAGTTGGAAACTAAACCATGGCGAGGTCTGAAGGAAACTAGCTTAACAGACCTTATGAATCTTGATTGCAATCTAAATTACGGCATCCGAAAACGTTAGAAAAGAAAACCGTGATACACTCGTTTTAAAAGACCTTGGAAGGGGCGGAGAAAAACAGGCAAAGTTTCCGGATGCATGTGACTTTGTCACGTTTCAAGGGAACAGAAATGTAACCAGGCCTTTGTGCCATGGCTCGTTTGCGCTGTATGCCACTGTTGTCTGCCTGGCTTTAGGTATTTATGACAGACATGAATAACTGAGATGATAATTTAATAACTGTGAGAAAGGACATTTAACATGTACTACCTAAACTTTCCAGCTCAGAGAACTGACCGCTGTAAAGTAACAAATTTGTCAGTAGAAAATGGTATCACATGACTTTTCGGTAACCTTTTTGTGCGTGGGAAAGCTGAAAGCTGAAACCACGGAGATAATATTAAAGGAGTCATTTAGACCGATTTTCTTCTATTTAGAGTTCTACAAGCCTTCTCATCACGCTACACGTTGCACCAAGTTGTTATGTTTCTGCAAGGGTTTTTTTTTATTGAAAGTCACTTGAAACAGTATGGTTAAAACTACGTCTTCAACCTCAGCTAGCATCAATAACCGAAGTCTTCTCGTGAACAAAACGCTTTCACAGGTACATCTAGAGAGCGAGGACGAACAGCAAACAATTACTGTTGCAATTACCCTTCTTCTCCTAATTTCATTTCTAGGATCGATTGCGAATTTCCTTGTTTTGAAAGCGATATTCAGCCAGAAAAGACGAAAGCTGCACGAGTATCTCATGTTGAACCTAGTTGCCACTGATGCAGGGACATGTCTCGTGGGTATTCCGCTCGATGTCGCAGAGCAGGTGATTGGCAAATTTCCTTACGGAGTTGCTCTTTGTCATGTTATTTACCCGTTTCAGTCCGCGCTAGTCTATTCATCCGTTATGACACTGTTATTCATGTGCGTAGAACGCTATAGATTGATTGTAACACCGCTGAAGCCAAGATTACGCGTAAAAACTGGATTAACAATCATTGCAGCGATATGGCTGTTATCGTGCCTCATGGTCCTTCCTCTATCTCTTGCCCTGAGGCTCAAAGGATCTTATTGCATCGAGGAATGGCCGAACGCTTACAGTGGAAAAGTGTTTACCCTCACTATCTTTACTCTACTTTACCTAATACCACTGGTTATCATGACCTTCCTCTACGCTTTTATGATCGATGTATTAACCAAGGACACTGCGTCTTTAAAACGGCGGTGGAAAAGAAAAAGCAGGACGATTTCCCAGGAATCGGTCTATGTGCGAATGGAGAGAAACTTCACAATTGTCAAAGTGTTTGTCATTGCTGTAGTCGTGTTTGCAGTGTGCATGTTACCAACACATATTACTTGGCTGTGGCACGATTTTGGAAGCGGTTCTGAAAGACCCGAGTTATTTGGTAACGTGGCAACGTTTAGCAACATTCTTATGTATGCTAATTCTGTTTTCAACCCCGTTATTTTTGGATCCATGATGATCGATGCTAAAACACTTGTAAAACTTTGCAGAAGTTTGCTTTGCTGCCGTTGCGGACGAAATAATAGAGACCCCAAGCAAGTTTTTGCTCTTAAAGTTCGCTCTCCTTCGATGTCAGCTCAGTTGCAAAGGGGATCATTCTGTTTGTCGCTGTCTAAAGCTTCGGAGATCTTCAACAGTGGAAATAATGAAACAGTCAGAGCGACGAAAATAACTGTAAAGAACACCGATCAATGGTAAAGCTAAAACACTGAGCTGACGTGATTCAGCGTGGTAGACTAGAACTTTCAAAACGTGATCTACTTTGATTTGACAAATTAATTGAGAGTAATTAATTAGATTGGTTTACCATAAAATTTATTACGCTGCACGTTTCGTGAAGTGGTCGAGATCAAAAACGCTATCATTAGGGTCATCTGTTCCAGCGTTCTATCGTCCTTTATGTTGTTTTTCCACTCTTAAATGACAGATCCTTTTTGAGTGGTATAAAGCCATATGTAAATAAACACAAAGCGTTTGTAATAAGTATGTATTTAGTGCATTATCAGCTGATGAAAGAACATATTCTAGCTTATTCTCAGTCAATGGAGTGTGCTTGGCACTTCAAGTGTCAAACACCACGTCTCGGTCATGCAACTTTCCAAATGTTAGCCTTGTTCATTGAAAACTAACAAAGAAATCGAATGATAGATCATGACTGTATTATGCATTGCAAGGCCATCAAATTTAAGAGATTTTGAATTGCAGAGGTCTTATTAAGTCCGGTTTAGCGGTGATCCTTTGCTACCCCTGTAGGTACATAATTACAGGGTCAATAGGGTCGAGTTCCTTTATAGGCGATTACCTTACAATAATGATGGTCTTAAAATAACCTGAAACGTCTAAATATATCGTATTTGAAACGATACAAAAACGCATTGAGTGAAAAATAAATGGCCACAAAAGAACGATAGGTGTGTGGCATTGATAACCTGACTCATTGACATATTTTGGAAAAATCGTAATTTGGTTTGAACCAAACTTAACAATGACTCTGTTTGCAAAGTGCTCTGACACGTTTTCATTTACATCCACAGCACTGTCTTTGCTACGTGTTGTTACTACTGGTTAGGAAATGTTTGTTCGCTTGTTTGTTATTGATAGTTATTGTTACGACTTTAAACCAGAAGCTTCTAATCCTATAAGGATTTAATATATATTGTACTACGTGTATTTCTATTTTATCTGTTTATCATCCTATAAAAATAGCGTGACCTATCTCCCGTTCAGTGAGCTCATCGTGATAATAAGTTTAGAGCCACTTGATCTATCCTGACCTTACCAACAGCGGCACGGATTATCTCTTAATTATTACTTCCTTGACCACTTACAGTATCAGCTTGCAGTCTCTCTGACAATAAATATCAGCAGATCTAATTCCCAGACTAACACGAGTCCCTGCGACTCTTTTAAGGTATCATGGTAGGTAGATTGACAGTGTTTGGAAATCGCGCTCTTACGCAAGCGCTTTGAAAGAAACCCCATCAACCTATACATTTTCTAAAAGCTTAATAGTTACAGAATACAATCGTATCTTTTTAAAAAAGTTATTGTCGCATTGATATTAAAATAAATAACCAGAAACACTGCATCGCTCAAACTGGTTCGCTTCCGCGCGTGAATTATCGGAGCGGCGCGATTTACATGTTTTCTCACACATCACCCTCAAAGAGGGTGTCTGCGATTTTCCATGTGTGGTCTATTTTTAGCTCTACACCCTCCTAAACTTTGATATTTTCAATACGGACGTTTCCGTCTACTAAAGAGGCCATAACTTTGGAACGGAAGCGAAATTAAACAAAGCCCGACAACCTTTTTTGAAGGAGGTATCCTGGAACATACCTGCCGATTTTCAGCCAATTCCATCGGAAGACGCGCGTAAACGAACTAAAAATGTTCATCCTTATATGCAGTTTTATTTTATCGAGAAAAAGACGAAAAACCTTTTATGACATTGTATGAATAGGTGTTTTAAAAAATCCCCTCCGCACTGACAGATGTCGGCATGGGTTAGTTTACCACAACAATGGGTTATGACAACTTGAAATAAACAGACGACTTCAATTCTGGCGCGGAAACCCGTGGCAGTGAGATCGTCCGAGAAGCGACAAACT